TTCATCATTACAAGTCTTATTCTGGTATGATGACATTTAAACCCATAGTTCATCTATACAAGTCTTATTCTGGTATGATGACATTTAAACCCATAATTCATCTATACAAGTCTTATTCTGGTATAATGACATTTAAACCCATAGTTCATCTATACAAGTCTTATTCTGGTATGAAGACATTTAAACCACCAGTTCATCTATACAAGTCTTATTCTGGTATGATGACATTTAAACCCATAGTTCATCTATACAAGTCTTATTCTGGTATGATGACATTTAAACCCCTAGTTCATCTATACAAGTCTTATTCTGGTATGATGACATTTAAACCCATAGTTCATCCTTACAAGTCTTATTCTGGTATGATGACATTTAAACCCATAGTTCATCCTTACAAGTCTTATTCTGGTATGATGACATTTAAACCCATAGTTCATCTATACAGGTCTTATTCTGGTATGATGACATTTAAACCACCAGTTCATCTATACAAGTCTTATTCTGGTATAATGACATTTAAACCACCAGTTCATCTATACAAGTCTTACACTCGTATGATGATATTTAAACCCCTAGTTCATCCTTACAAATCTTATATTGGTATGTTAACATTTCAATCCTCAAAACCTTACTTTGCTGTGATAACATTTAATCCCCTCAGTATATCCTTACAAGTCGTACTCTGATATGACGATACTTAAACAAACAGTTCATTCTTATAAGTATTACTCTGGTCTTTGAAGAGGAATGATGGTATTAAAACCATAACTTTGACTTACAACACTTTAAAACGGTATATTAACGTTTATAACACAACTCAGTCTTGCAACTCTTACACCGTTATATACACAATATATAAATAAATAATAATATAAAAGGCGACCACTAGTATGTCTGTTGTATCCCTGCCTGCCGGATGAGCCCTGGTATTGGACGAAATGTCTCACCGGCACCGAATATAGCAGATATAATGTGGTCGACATATTTTGTTACGTTCTTTACATTCACTCGTTAATTCTTATAATTAAACCACTTCAGCTCGACGAAAAAGGAATTTAGATTGGCTTAATAAAGTTTAAAGTATAGTCCAGCCTCGTTTGCCTTAAGGTGTGTGGTATCTTTTAAAATACAGCTCTTAGGTTTTGTTACCTTTTATTTTGCAATTTGTATTTTATCTCAAAAGGTTATATACGTTCGTGAGGCAAGATTTCTTGGAGAAACACCAAACTCGTATCAACTACCACGCTCTTTTTCACTTTAATTTTGGAAATGAGTATTTTATTGTTTTTCGTAATTTCTTTATGATTTTACGAAATTATAGGCGGTGGTTTTATTGATATACTTTAAAGAAAGAGGAAAAACAACCCACCATAAATAAAAATACTATTTCCCAATCAGGTTTCAACCAGAATTGTTTTTGTTATTCTTTTATCACTAGCCCATTTATATTCCCGGGAATCTTTAAACGTAAATAAACGTATCTCATTTTATCAAATCTCAGTTGTTCTTTTATCCCAGCCAAATAAAGTAAATATTACAGACTTAAACCAAACTATAAAACACGCATGGAAGCTTTAACAAAGCATTTAAAACTATATTATACACAAAGTAACAAAATCAGCCGAGTTTTACTCCCTTGATTAGTGTTAACATAGTTACACACAACTATTTAATTTAGCAATAGATTTAGAACAGCTATTGAAAATATAATCATTATCGTAACTAATACAATAACAAATCTTACTTTTTCGCCGCTTAAATTATATATGCGCCTCTTTTCTAAAACATCCATCAGGATTTTCATCATGTCGTTTGAAAATGATCTACGATGGTATAGACATCTAGTGGCGAAAAGGGAAGTTATAAAAATTATATAATTTTAGTTGTTAACACTGACATTATATACCATATAGACTATATTTTTACATTTTACTTCTACGTCCTATCAATCTAGACTAAGTGATATAAATAATTAACCCTGAACATATATTTCATATGTTATCCACTTCTACATAATTGATTCAATTATTGCCCAGCTATCTGTTCTCGCACTTTGTGAACTCACTGTTTTAAAATATCTGTGTTTTAGTTGTTTAAAATACATTTAAGGACAGTATAGTAAACTACTTTCTTAGACGAAACGGGCCGTCCATCCTTACTTCTTTCAAAGTGAAGTTGCGACTTACTATAACATATATTCATGGAAATAGACATTAAAACACATCAAGACAAAATGGGCCGTCCATCCCTGCTTCTTTCAAAGTGAAGTTGTGACTTACTATGACATATATTCATGGAAATAGACATTAAAACACATCAAGACATTCCTAAAAAAACAACATACACCACTATTCAAGAAGAAAGCTGTGCAAAAAAATACATTCAGCACCTCTAGAGATTTAGAAAAGTTGGTGCTAATGAATCAAAGAGGTTTCGGTTTTGTTATGTTAGCTTACGAAGCATGAAAACAAATACTCACAATCATACATTGCATATTATAACACCAGTATTTATTATACGTAGTGTTGTGTACTCAGACTCTTCTCTGAAATATCTTCTTTATCATTAACAAGATCAAGATTGAAACAATAAGCTTACATCATACAGTCTGATGAAAAGTTACACCAGCAAGCGACTAACTTCTAGTGTATTAACCATTTCTCAGGAACCTTAAATACTAGATTAAAGAAGTTATCAGCATAACACTACAAATATACTTAATTATATCAAAGGCGTTTATAATTAAGTTCTTTTGAATTGTGTAAAAATCAGAAACCTTTTACAGTTTGTAACTTGCAACCTTATTTTTACAGAAAATCTTTTCGTTTGAACGCACAAGTAACACTTAAATCTTTGTTAAACGTCAAGTAGTTCCATCTATGGACGGCATAATTAATTAGCTTTGTATTTGTTTTTTTTTCATTTCGCGCAAAGCTACAGGGCTATCTGCGCTAGCCGTCCCTAATTTTGCAGTGTAAGACTAGAGGGAAGGCAGCTAGTCATCACCACCCACCGCCAACTCTTGGACTACTCTTTTACAAACGAATAGTGGGATTGACCGTCACATTATAACCCCCCCACGGCTGAAAGGGCGAGCATGTTTGGTGTGACGGGGATAGCTAGCGCAGATAGCCCTCGTGTAGCTTTGCACGAAATTCAAAACCAGCAAATGATATTTAATAATCTCATTTGGTAACGGTAAAAACAAAAAGCGTATCCATAAATTATCTGGACTATTAG